TGCATTATTCGATTCAAAATAAGAAATAGGGAAATACATTGATATTTAGTTAAAGTTAATAAATAACAATGGTTAAAATTAAAAGATAACTGAAGACCATATTTGTGTTCTCATACTGAATTTTCTTTCAACAAATGACTCGAATAAATGCAATATGTTTTTATTATTTGGAGGCTAACAAGAGAAGTACGCATCTTAAATATTCCCGATTAAAACAAAGTTAAGGTTAAATGAAGCTAGCATGTTTGAAAATCCTGCATAAGGTATACATATTAGAAGCCTAATCTGCCCCAAGGATAAATTTTATATACCGAGTTCACTTAGTTTTAGATAAACAAAAACTGCCCAACTTATAACAACAGGTTCCAAAAAATTCCCAGCTGTTGCGGTTGAATTTTATTTCTAATTTTCTTTTTTAAAAAAGGTTGATAACTATTTTATATATTTTAATCAATTTATAAAAAATTTACTTTTTAATTAATTAAATATTTATATAAATTTATCATAAATAAATGAATAGATAGTTGCTTCTTTTTATTTTTTAATCAAAATAGATGGATAATTCAAAAAAATTGTAATTTAATATTTGAATAGAACTTTTTGCAACTTTTTTAAAATTACAAACTAATAAAAATCTCCAATTAAAATGCATGAATTAATTTTTAAAAAAATTTCATTCTTTAAAATTATTCATGATAAATAAATTTATTAGTTATTTAATTTTTTTTAATTAAAATGTATGTATAATTTTTAAAAAAATTTAATTTAAAATTTACATTCAAATTTCGTTATTTTTTTTAATAATCCATATACTTAAATTTAAGGTATAAAAAAATTAATATCTTTCTAATTCTCTTATTCAAAAAAATTTTATATAAAAAAAAGTATCTGAATTAAAAGAATAATAATTTTTAAATTGAATAAAACATACCAGATAATTATCAACCTTTTGTAGAAAAGAAAATTAGAGGTAAAGTTCATTCGTCCCAACTGTGATTTGAACTCGAGTCCACTCTGATAGATAGCCTAACCTTTTACACATTAGAACGAAAGTTTTAAAGTTAATGAACTGAATATTTAAAGGGGCAGATAAGACGGCTAATTTGTACCCTTTTCAAATAAGCTCTTAAGTTGAAGCTTAGCTTTGTTTTACCAAGAATTTTCAAAACGTGTTCTTACCAGCATTTCACAGAAGTGTAATAGACGACAGTTGTAAATAGAACATAAATATATTCTTACAAATGATACAAAAACTAATCTAATCTTATTCTTAATTTAAACATCAATATTCACAAGATTGCATTATTTACAAGATTATTTACAAGAAAAATAATCTTTAATGATGCTGTTTTAATAAAAATTGATCCAACACAAAACTGACAAAACAATTGTTTTAATAAAAATTGATAAAATTTTGGAAGATAATTTTTAGTTTAAAAACAATAACACCTTTTGGTTTTACAATAACAATAACACCTTTTAGTTTTTAGATAAAAACAATAACACCTTTAGTTTACCTAAAAATTCATCTGAAAACATTTTATTACATTTTCTAGTATAAATTGATTTACATTTATATTTTATTTTATAACCGTCGTTGAACAGCCAATTGAATTTTTCCGTCTACGAATACCAATGTTCAGCTCCGTAGCCTTGTCATTTTGAACCCAATCCAGAAGACAAGGGAACTTCAGGATCAAGGATAGGGATATATTTGCCTTCGCGGAGGACTTTTTGATGACTAATCCTCAGTTACGTTACATGGAGAGGAAAACCACGAACACATCCCACGGTTAGCCTGATGCCATGGGGACTCTAACTCACTATCCGTCTTCCCCTGAGGATATTTTACGTCAGCGCTGTGGTCGATGTAAGCCGGAATTCGTATCCACCAGCCATTACCAGAATTTGAACTCGGTTCACATAATTGGTAGGAGAGCTCTCCATCCCAACAAGGCTCTTACATTTATATTGACAAGAAACATATATGAATGAAATTAGCCATCGGTAATTTTTAGCTTAGTTTTTACTAAAAGAAAAAAAAAACATGTACTAGAGGGACCGGAAAATAATGTCGTGTCTGAGCATTAAATATTCATTAGTCTTACCAACCAATTCATTTTTTTCTCATCCATTTCGATTCATTTTCTAACAGTATTTTTTTGTATTTCTGTTTGCATAATGTCATTATTACTGATAGTGTTTTGATGCTAACATGAAAATTTTCTCAGTTTTTTTTATGACTTCAGAGTAGGTATGAGTTTAAGCAGACAACTTTTAATATAAGGCAAGGGTTATTTGACTTTTGAGTGCATAATTACCAACTCTACTGGATTTACCAGGAGTCTACTGAATTTTGATGATAGTCTCCCCTGGTCTACCGGTATAGTAAATATTCTCCGGGTTACTTGTACATTTTAGAAAATTCTCTAAAATTGAGTAAGTTTTCTAAAAAGAAAAATACTCATGAAATAGAATTTTTTCAAAATTTTTAAGTTGACTTTAATATTTAAATGAGTATTACGAATGAAGTAAGACTCATTTGCAGCCTTTTTATTTACTTATTTTTTTTCTGAAATTTTCAAAAAACTTTTAGTGTCAAAAGTCTAAACTATCAATAATGAATTGTCCATCATATATACTGTTGTCATATGCCACTTGTCAGTACATATTTTGATATGCATTAATCTCTGATATAATTACCACTTAATATTTTCTTTTTTTCAACATTTATAACTTCTCGGGTTTCATTGTTTACTTAATTTTATTAATTTTGTTATTCAAATTTACAAAATGCATAATAAAAATATTTATTGTTCGCTCATTAAATATCCAAAATCTATTGAATGTTCAATGGCTATAATTAGAATATACTCTAAATAAATGGTTAATTCAGCTGTAACATTTATTTATGATGTCTATTTATGCATTATTTATTCATAAAGTTCGATGCATTGCTATGTAATGTCTACATGTGATTAATGTAATGTAATTTAAAACAAATCAACAAGCATTTTAAAAATTTAATATTTTTTTTCACAATAAACAACAATGAATTTATATAAAAGTTAAATAGACATATAAATACATTATTCTTATATACCTATACTATTTAAAAAATTTAGAATAAGTCAAAAGTTTGATAATTTTTTAATAAATCTAATTTTGTTTCAGATATAAAGGAGCACCTTGTTTTCATAGAAAAGTCTGTAAACTCAAAAGAACCGAGATTCATTCTTAGAGTTGTAAGAGCTCTTGTGTCCATCAGGAAGCGCTTAACACCAAAAATTTTGCGTAAAGTTGTTACTCATTTTTATGTTCATTCTTCTCAACAAAAAGATGTATTGCTTGCTTTCATTGATGAGGTAAGTTTTTTATTTCATTGATACTGAATTTCTTTATATTTTAAGTTTAGTTTATAATTTTATTGGAAACCAGTTAATATTTTCTTCACTTGGTCGCTTCTTTATTACATTTTTATAAAAATAAAATATTTTTAAAAAGCAATTATATTTTGTAAAATTTTAATATTCTAAGTATTTAATTACATTTACTGTATTAAATTTTTCAAATGTTTATGCAATCTTGTTTATTATTATTGGAAATACTCTTTATTATGGGCAAAAATAAGTTTTGCCATTGTAAAAGTTAGATTACAAAATGAACTACATACGGTAAACAACTACATACTAAAATTTGCAAATATCTTACTAGTTTTGTTTACTTTCTAAACGGTGTCGCATAACTTAATTCTTAAAAGATTGGGAATTATATAAGCCTTTGAATTATTTAGAAATAGTGGGTTATAGAAACCTAATAAACGGAATTTATTAAACCATGATTCACACATTATTAAACTACCACTCAAAACTATTTATTTGCTGTCCTGAGCAAGTTGGCATATCTGCATTTATAATTAAATATACTAAAATATACCAAAATAAGATTTAATTCATTTTTTTCTTTGCTAAATAAAATTTTTTGAATCATGCTTTTTGGTTTAAAAATATTTATCTTTTTTTGTGGTTTATTTGTCACATAATTCCTTAAGCTCTAAATTAAAAGTATCTAAACCATTATTCAATAGTATTTTTATGACAAACTTTTTAACTATTGATTGTTTTCTATGGGTTATTAAAATTTTTTACTTATATTCCATAATGCTAAGGTGATAAAAGAAAATAAGAGTTTTTTCAATAAACATATATTATTTTACAACTCCAGTTAACATGTAAGTATGCCCCCAATTTTTTTTATTTTTAAATCGATTGAATCAATGCAAATCTTAATATGAAGTGACAAATAGGCATAAAAATCTAAAATGGTAAACGGTTATGGATTTATTAATAAAGAATAGAACACTTAAGTTATTTTAACATAGTGGCTGTTTAAGTTTAACAATAAGCTTTTTAACGTAGTGCAGCATTATATAAAATGATATGGAGTGAAAGTATTTTTAACCAATTTAAAAAATTTTTTGCTAAAATAATGAAAGTTTTTTTTTTTTGCAAAAAAAAGTTTGAAAATATATTAATATTAATGAATAAAAAGCATGTATACAATATAAATTTGTTTATACTGATAACAGTAAATAAATTGAAAAATGAAGTATAATGTCAATAACAGCACTTCTTTCCTGTTTCTTCTTTTGATTGTCACAAGCATAATATGCCATTAACAAGTATAAATAAAGGTTTCTATAATTTTTTTTTTTATATCTCAGTCAATAATTACTTAAAGGACCATCAGCTCTATTTTATTTTAAGCCTTTTTAGAAAGATCATATCTTAGCCTAATTTGCATTCATAATGAGNTATCTGCAAAATATGTATTAGCCATTCCAGTAGAAATACTTTTTATAAATTGTGTTGTTGTCGCGGTTATCTATAACCTTGAAATATCGTTACATTTGAATAAGTATTTCTGAAGGTTATCATTGGCGTAGAAAAGAGAGGATGCTTGGCGTTAACTCTGTTCAATTTCTTCTTCCTCTATTTCACTCCTAAAAGTAATTGCATCTTGATAGTTCTTCTTTAGATTATCCAAAACAACATTATCTTATCTATTCCGATAAGCGATACGTATTTAACTTACCTTGAACAGAATTTTATTTTAGTAAACAATCTGCTATTGATAAGAGTTGCTTTTCAAGCTCAGCGTAAGTTTTATTTTTGTATATTTGTTTACAAGTGTCTTACAAAACTTTAAAGGTTTTTTTTTTTAAAAAAAAAAGCTTTTATTTTATAATACTTTACGATTTATTATTGTGTGAAAGTAAGCGAATAAAAATTGGAATACCACAATAACATCAATGTACAAGAATACAATCTTAATGGTTTAAAGATCTAACCTTAAATATGCTAAATAATTTGAGCGGGCAATAATTTAGACTACGAAATTAGACGATAAAAAGTACTTTCACTGAATAAACGAGTCTATATTTTCCAACTGATTTTAATGCTTGAAATATGGAAAAATCCTCAATAGAGAAAAATATGGAGAAAGCCACACATTAAAAAATAGGGTTCCAATAATTTTGAGAAAAAAAGGATCAAATGTTTCAACTTCAAAATGGAATGCATGCTTTGTTTAGAGCTGTCAATTAGACATTTAAAAAAAAAAAATTGCAATCTTTGGAATCTTATTGTTCCAAAGATATTGTTATGTGAAAAAATACCTTTATAAGGTTATTATTTTTTCTTATAAAATATAATAATGTTAGAGAAACATTGAATTGTAAGTTTCAAATCATTTTAAACTGTGTCATTTTAAATAACGAAATTCGAAATTTGTACATAATCGGTGAAATAGTTTAATCAAAAAATTTTAAAAAATTTATTATTATGCAATTTTTAATTCTCAAGAACTATCCAACAGATTTTGTCCAAATTTTGATTCTTGTCATTTAAATGTAAATTGTTTAAAATGACTCATTTTTTCACTGATTATTGAGATAGCCTGCCATTTAAAAAAAATAAAGAAAAGAAAAAAAAACATATAGTGCTTGAAACGTCAATTTTTTTCGCTGTTAATTCTGTTTCACTTTTTAACTTAAAAATTTCCTTTCCTCACGTGTTTTTGATTAAATATTTTTCTTTTTCTTAAATTTTAGGAAAAAGCATCGTAAAAATTTTCGTTTTTACAGTATTAGCAATTACACTCTAAAAATTTTTGAAATAAAATTATTTGAAATTTCATTGTTAATACTTGCAATATTACAGATGAGTTTTAAAAATAGACCCATTGTTAAGTTTATGATGTAAATCTCAAACTAAAAAGTGCAAAAAATTAAAACACCCGAAAATACAATTTAGTTCAAACTTGTTTGTGTCTGCATAAGTTATTTTAAACGCCCATTACTTAGGAAATATCGTATAACGAAGTTACTACGTTAACCGAACGATAAGATTCGAAATATTTATATTAACAAACAAATCTTATTTCGAAATTCGTGTTTTCAAGTTAGCGGAGTACCTAAATTCAACTAATAAATAGAGAGATCCTATTAATATTATTTTAAAACAAAAACAAATTTGACTCAAAGATCTGAGCACAAATTGTTTAAGCGTAAAATAGTGTTGAATCGCTTCTCTTCAAAAATGAAAAAAAAAATCAAATTTTTTTTTCAATAATTATGAATATTTTAACCAGTTTCCTGGCTGTTTTGAGAATTTTAAACGAAAGAACGATGACGTTTCCGACCTTTGATTGTTATACATCTCTGTTATACATCTTTGATGTCCTCTTAAAATTTGTTCCAATAATCTTTGGATACTTTCCTACTTCCTGTTTTTTCCCTTGACTTTAGTAAGTTTAATTAGATGCGATTTATTAAAATTTTTATAATCCGCATCATTTCGCAGCACATTGTTCCATTTGAAGGCTTTCTTGAGTGACATTGGTAAGCCTCAAAAATTTTGTGTTAGAAAATTTGGAATCATGTGTAATGAACTGTTGTACTAATACAGAAACATCTCTGATACGGTTGTCCAAATTATTTACCTAACATCATAAGTTTTTTGGTATAGTTAACTTTGCCAAAAGAATATTTTTGTACACGCTAAAAAGGTATTTTTAACTAATCGGTGCATTGAATAGGAAAATTTTGGATTTGGAGTGCTCACATAGTGCGGATATAATCTGATGATGTTAAAGATGCAGATAGTCTTCTTCTCATTATGATGTTGATTTAAAAAGTCAGTTTTCAGAATTTGCAATATTCGAAGTTATGAGGCTTCAATAAGTATATATAAAGAAAATTTTCAGTGCTTATTGCTTCTATAAAATTTGCAAAATCACGTAATTTTCAGCATTTAGAGCAGGGTTTCTTAACCTGTGGTTCATGGACCCCTTAGAGGTCCATGGGTCATATTTTGGGGGTACGCCGACTACTTTTAAGACGATTGGATCAATAATATTTAAATAACATTGNGGCTAATGCCTGTAACTGCCGGTCAAGTAACCCGCAGTTAAGAAACCGACGGTCAAAAAATAATGGTGGAATCGCTTTTGAACTCTCGGTCAAAGTTTCCAAACCGGGGGTTTTGGAACTGGGAGTTACGCGTTAGGTCAGAGTCAATGGTGAATACGGGGAGAGGTACATGGGTCATATTTTGGGGGTACGCCGACTACTTTTAAGACGATTGGATCAATAATATTTAAATAACATTGATCTTTTTTACCTAAAAGGTACATACATATTTGAAACTAGGTGATTGAGATACCCCAAATTCAGTGCAGACCCTCTAATATCACTGTCATATTTTTAACATTCTCCACCAACCGGCTTTCAGTTTCCACCATCAGGGGCAACCCCCTGATTACGTCCGATTTGCTATTTTTATAATCATCTGTCAGCCCTTCATTTTTTATGAGCCGTCCCTTTGCTCTTTTCTCTTAGATATGACAACAATCCTCCACAATATGAGGAAAAGAACATTCGCAAACCATATAAAAATTTAACATTTTTACAATTGAAAAAAAGTAAAGTAAAAATAATTGATGGTTTTTGCAATAATTTTTTTTACAGGGGGTGGTCTGTGACTTCTTGAAAAATTTTGAAAAGGGTCCATTATACCAAAAAGGTTAGGAAGCACTGATTTAGAGTAACACTGTCCTGAACCACGTAAGATTAAATGTATCATTTCGGGATCAAAGTATGTTTAGAAATGTTTTGTAACCCCGAAAAGAAGGAGATGTTAAAAAAAGTATGATTAAAGTGTGCATCGAAGTTAGATAATTAATTACGATAATTTAATATCTCGAATTTTACATTCAGAAATATCATTTTCGATTCTATGGAAATATCTGCTCTTTTTACATACTTTCGATTTTAGTTATAGATCTGAATAAATAATATGCAGTTGAGTACAGAGGACAACACTTTCGCATTCTATGCAGCTTTGGTTGCCGTCCTATTAACCACTTTATACTACATTTTAAAGAAAAGAGGACTTCCTCCTGGCCCAACGGGTCTCCCTTTCTTCGGCTACTATCCATTCCTCGATGACGACAAGATTCATCATCAGCTTCAAAATCTCGGGAAGAAATATGGGAATGTCTTCAGTTTCACCGCCACCGGAACTCTGTACATTAATCTGGGATCTGCGGCATCCATCAGAGAAGCACTTGTCACCAAGTCGGAATGTTTTCAGCACAGATTAGAAGAACCCAATCAACTGTTTGATCATTTGGAAGGAGGTAAGTCTGTCTGATCATACATGATGGCTATAAGAAACAAGAATTTTAAATGAAACTTTTTTCACCGACCTCAATCGAAACCAATCCTTCCTTTCATTTTGGAATTAACTCTGACATACTTTAGACAGCTGGCGAGGGGTGTTCTTTAGATAGACAGATTGTATTAATTTCGATATAACAATTAAACATTAGCAATATAGCTTGCTAATTTTATCATCGTATATTCGATAGTATTTCAGAGCATATTATTGAAAGAATGAACAATGAATTGCAAATGGTTGTTTGCTTGTCTTAACTGTAGAAATATTTATTCACTTTTTATTACATAATTAAAAATTGCCATGTTTTCTTAAATGAATAAGGTTGAACCGCATTCAGGCCCGTTTTGTCCCATATTTTTTTAAAAATTATGAAAGAAAGGTTGTATATTTTTAACATTAACTTGTTCGAGGGCACGTTACTTTGTCTAATTCTTCCCAGAAAAGTTTTATTTTAGCATGATGTAAAAGATGCATTAGATGCTTTGACCAAGAAATAGTTTAAACGCATAAATATTGCTTGTTTTAATTTTCTCTGTTATGATAATTGCAAACTCATTTGTAATAGTCCAGTTAAATGAGACTTTTTCTTTGGATAAATTAATACCTCAATGGATAGATTTTATAATGACCCGATTCCGTGGCCTTCACAAAGCCTCAACTAACATTTCTGTTTTTTTATTTTTTATTTCGGGGGGGGTGGGGGGTATATTTAAAACATTGCTTACAAGAGAACAATTATTTACACCAGCAATCCCAAAAATGGAAACATAAGGTGCTTCAAATGACGGGGAGATTGATCATCGTCTTTATGTATTTCGAGAGACTGTACTGAGAGAAACGTGTTAAAATCGATATTAAACTCTATACTTTTCTTTAACCATACCAAATTTATGTTCGGGTGTGTTTGATAATTGTATTGAAAAATACAATTTTGTAATTACGAGTTTCTTTTTCCATGACTCTGTACTGTTTTTTAACTGCTTCTTTCTGATGACTCGCTTCATAATTTAAAAAAATCAACATTTTCTAATAACTTAAAAAATTACATTTAATTTTTTTAAGGTATGCTTTTCCTGAAAGGTGAGCCATGGAAAGTTATTAGAAAATTTTTCCTTCAGCAGTTCAGAGAGAGAGGCTTAACTGTCATCAAAAAAGAAATGTCTGGCTCCATTTACGACACTGTACAAAGCACAATAAATGATTTGGCCAAAAAGAAAGGAAAGCCAGTGGACATGCCTTCCATTTTGGTTACGAAATGCAGCGAAATTATTCGCCAAGCAATCTTTGGCAATGATGGTATGACAGAAGATGAATTGAAACATTTCTGCAATCATTATGGGGAGGCAGTCAACACCTTAACGGGTACCAGTGTCTTTCCATCGGGTGTCATAGCCAAGTAAGATTTTTTTCTTCTCTCTCTCGTATGATTCAAAGATTGAGATGGATCCTCCATCGTTTCATGTCGAATTCATCACTCATTTATCGTATACTATAGGAGCCTTACTGCAAACCAAAGCCCAAGCAGTTCCGTTCTAAAAAAAAACATATAAAAATAAAATATGCTCGCGACGTTGCATGTTTCCTTATTTCATTATTTTTCTTGCTTTCCTTTATTCTTAAAAAATCCTGACAATAAGACTATTTTTCTTTTTCAATCGTGTTGTTGTTTATGATTCCCGAAACGGTTTTGTGGAATCTAGAATATCGACAATGTCATCTTTCATCCATCAAAAGGTACCCCAAGATAGAATAGAGTTAACACGTCTTATTATATACTAGTTAATTGGAATTGTATTATTGTAGTGGTAGTTAGGTAATGACACTACATTACACCAGAATTTCATCTCGGATAGAATCCGATGAAAGTATATAGCTAGTTTATTCATTGCTGCTTTGTGAAAAGCGGGGAGAGCTGTATTAAAATCACAAGACTTTGAATGCTGATCGTGAGAGCCGTATTAAGCTTACGGTCGTGGTCGCTCCTGTGCTGCCATTAGCAGTCGAGTGCATACTAGACGACGCTGTGTGTGATTGAGACTGATTAGCAACAGCGTGATGCGGGGACAATGTCACAGTCACAATTAGACAATAGTTAATCTTTCCATGTCGACCCTCTAACGAAGTAGGTGTGTTTAAATCAAAGTAGACGTATCTGTCAAGGTATTCAGATCACGTCCGCATGTCACCCATAAGGGGTGAGTGTTATCGACGATGTCAACCTTCATCTATCAAAAGGTACCCCAAGACATACATACTGGTGAATCAGAATTGCATTGTTGTAGTCCTAGTCTTCTTACAGTATCCGATTTTGGATGAATGAATACACAGCAAATGGACGACACTGTAGCATTTAATATCAACAGTTATTTACAAGTTAATATATAGTTATAAGCATAATTGATTCCATTTATTAAAGACATAATTATTGAGATAAAATATTTACGTTCGTCATTTCTTCAATATCCAAATATATATAGAACATCAGGATTGTAATTAAAATGACGTTATACTACTAACGACGCACACTTTTCAATGTATATAAAATAAAACTTTGACGCGTGTGAATTTACTAACCTCAGTTTATCTAAATTAGTTCAACTTCATAAAACTGTTTGTATAAAAAGGGTAAAGTAAAAGGGTTTTTAAAAAAATCTTCTTTCAAGTAATTTTAAACCATATTTAAATTTGATACTGTATGAGTCCTTAAAAACATTCTGTTTTTGTTCGTTGGCGAGATTCTTTCCCTTTGGCAAAATGTAATGACAGGTTTGCTTTCTTCTTTTGCCTGACCCCACTTCGAAAACAGGACACTCGGACGATTTCCGAGAACGAGTTACGTACTTGAGGGACATTCTAGATATCTTAACATCATGAGCCGTGGTGGCTCAGAGGATTTAGATGAGATGAGCCAGGTTAAAACCGATATGAATTCTGGCATACACCAACCACAGTGCTGATATAAAATATTCTCAGTGGTAAACGGGTTATAAATTGGAAATTCCTAGCTGACCGTGGGAGATTTTCGTGGTTTTCCTCTAGACGTAACGCCCATTTGGGTTAATTCCATCAAGAAAAATTCCTTTACGAAGGTTCATTTGTTCTAATGCTTGATCCAAGAGTTCCCTTTATCTTCTGGGTTAGGTTTAAAACTACAAAGCTATGGGCATTAAATAGTGACGGTCGTGAACTTTAAATTGGGTCGGCGGTTCGACGCCGACAATAAAAAAAGTTTTTAACATCATACCTTCAAAATGGACTGTTTTTTTCTTAATATTGGTTTCAACCACAATATTTTAATAACTTAAAGTGTATATGTTTAGAGGAAAACTCTACGTATTTTGCTTTAGTTTTTATTCAATGTTAAAAAAATTACAATAGAAAATTTGCAATACTTTAGAATATGCTTTTAAGGAATAATCGGAAAGTAAATATCCACTCCTATTTNTAATTTTTTTTTTTTTTTTGAAGCTGTCTGCCGATCGCAGGCAGAAATTTGAAGTGCTTAATCATGATTAGAGGAATTAATTATACAAAGTCAAATTTCGATAAAAAATTTTTTTATGTGAGCTGTTTTTCGTGTTATACCACTATGTTAATGGGAGTGAAGGGCAACAAAAATATAATATTTATAAGTATGACCAAGGAGCTGTGGCGGTAAAGGAGATACTGCACTCGTCTCCAATTGAGGTAAACCGGGTTTGAATCCCATCGACGGCTGGTTGATTCGAATTCCGCATCGCATCAGGCTCGTACCGATCACAGTGCTAAGGTAAAATATCCCCGATAGTAGACGGATCATGAGTGAGTCTCCTTGCCGTCAAGCTAACTATGAGAGGTTTTCGTGGTTTCCCTCTGCACGGAACGCAAATGCGGGTCAGTTCTATCAAAACGTTCACCACAAATGTAAGTGTCTCCCTATACGTGATTCAGGAGTTCCCTTGTCTTCTGGATTGGGCTTAAAATGACAAGGTAACAGAGTTTAACATGAAACTCAAAAAATTGGGTCGTCAGTTCTGCGACGGTTTATAAAATATGTCGAACTAAAAACAATCACAACTTTTAACGTTGAGTTCGCATGATAAGCGTATGTTAACCTTAAAGCGTAATATGAAGGAACATCCTTTGTAAAAAAGTAGTATACTCTTAATATTAACTTATTTGTGAACATATGACTTTGTCCAATTCTTCCCAGCTAAGTTTTATACCAACATGATGTAAAAGATGCAGAAGATGCTTTGACCAAAAGCTTGTTTAAATGCATAGATATTGTATGTTTTAAATTTTTTTATTGTTTTCATTTTATTTGAAATTTATGTGTAAAAATCCAGTTAAATGAGTCTTCAGAAAAATGAATACATAAATTTTAGGACGGCCCGATTTCGTTTCCATAAAATGGGTTCTAATAATTAACAATGGCTCTTCATTTCTGAACAGATACTTTATTCTTCCCTACCTCAAAGGTGTGAAAGAAGGAAGGAAAGCAGCCGAAATGATTCAAGGAGTTTTACTCAATGCTATCAAAAGACGAAGATCAACCTACAACGAAAACCATGTCAGGGATTTAGTGGATGCTTACATAAAAGAAGGAAATATCCGTCGATCTAAAAATGATCCAATAGCAAAATACTTCACTGGTATGTTCTTTTGTTTGATCTCTCGAATGTCTCTGTGATAATGCATTTTAAGACAACATTTTAAAAAAAAACTCAATTTTTCTCTCAGAAATGCATCCTTATTGTTGATTCAAAGACACTATTAGCAAACGTGGACAAAAACACTATATAGTGCAGTAGGTGTCATTAAACACCCAGCCTACGCACCATGCTCCCTAACTGTGCTCGCGGATGTTAATTATAATACATTTGAGTAAAATATAAACCAATAAAACATGATTGATAGGTATTCTATTTACGTCGCACTAGAGCTGCGCACAATGGGCTACTGGCGACGGTCTTAAAACATCCCTGATGATCCGAAGGCATGACATCGCAATTTTGATCCCCTGCAGAGGGAATGGCTCCTCTGCTTTGGTATCCCGAGAACCTTCGCGAGAAGTCGAGCACTTTACGGTATAACGAGGACCGATACCACGCATCCTCGGTCCCTATGCAGGCTGATCAAAGTAGTCACCCACCCGCACACTGACTGCAGCCATGGATTTCCGTGTTCTTCTGGGATCTTTAAGATCAGTCAGACAGAACATGATTGAAGAAACACTCCTTTCAAAATAACCAGCCTTTATCACGGGAACCCTCGATGCAGTAGACGAGGTCTAAACCAACTGGTATAGGCATGAAATTCATAAACCGATTAATACTAGGGATATTTTCCGTCAGCGCTGTGGTCAATTCTGTGCCAGAAGCCCAATACGAATTGACCAGCCATTACCATTATTCTAGCCAGAGCCGTTTCATTGGAAATCGAGCATTCTAACTCCTTAACCTTTCCGACTAGAATTCATTTTTATAAATTTAAAATGCATCAGTGCAGAAATGGGAAAGCAATTTTTAATTGTAAATTTCGAATCATTTGCATTTGTTCCACCCATAACCAAAATGATCAAAACACTTGCTTGTAGCAATCATAGCGGTACCCGCTGATGGACAGTAATTGCTTTTCTCTTAGTTTTTAAATTATTAAAACTATTAAGGGACTACTATAGTTTTTATGCATTGGAGAAAATTCGTTGCTTAATTCATAAGTAAATTTTACCAGAAATTTGCTTCATAATACAGAAAGAAAAAAAACACACCATAAATTCGTTAAAAAGTTCAGGTAAGTGCCATTACGCATTATCATTGATATTTTTTAGGACCTGGGTAAAGAATGTCCTCAGATGTGACTGTTCTAAAAGAGTTAAAAAAGTAGTTTTACATTTGTCTGCAGACTTTGTCAATCAGCTTTTTCATCCTTTCACTCAGTCTTTTTAGTTTATTATCTTGATTTGAAAAATATAAAAATCATTTGAAAAGAAAAGCTTATTTGCAACTTTACTGATTAAGAACCCATGATAATAAGTGAGCCCCAAAAACTTTAAAGAGTTTATGAACATCCGTTTCGGAAGTATGCATAACAGCACATGAACTCAAATAAAAGTTAAAAGTAATAAATCATACAGCATACCGGACAAAAAATAATTTTAAAAAAATCATAAATAAAAATCAAGACAAATAAATCTATGAAACATGACATTTTTTAAACAAATGCGAAATCAAATTATCGAATACATATGCGCAAATTTGAATTTTTTCTTATTTGAATTTTCTCAGTTGAAACCTATAAAATATTTCATTTCTATCTTAAACTATTTCTGCAAATTTAAAATGGTAACAGTGTTTTTAAGGTTTACACAGTCGTGTCTTTTTTAAAGCTTTTACTTTACTAATTTAAATTCACAAATATCTCAATCACGAATAACCAATGTTTACTATAAATGTATTTTTCCATGGAAACTGTCATTTCTTAAAAATATTCAAGAACATCTTATACTTGTTTCTAATTAAGAAAGGGTAGTTTATTGTGCCTATTGTTCTAAGTTACTGGTTTTTATTATTATTTGTTTAAAAAACATAGATAGCATTTACATATAATTCAAGTACAGAGAGAAATGCAGGTGATTTCGGTGCCATATAAAATTTACACATATGAACTATGACACATATGAACTATGATTTACTCTTTTTCTCTCGATATTGACAAAACAGAAGATATGAAATTTCAATATTCTTTTTTTTTAGACAAGGCTTTGGTAAGGACTCTTCTTCAAGTTGTGGGTGACGGAATAGTGTTCGTGTCCTTCTTTATCACTAGTTTTCTGAATGTCTTGTTGGAACATCCAGAAGAACAGGAAAGAATCTATAAGGAGTTAATTGAGGTTGTTGGAGAAGACAGGAATCCAAGCCTTGAAGACAAAAGCAAACTGCCATACACAAATGCATTTATTGCTGAAGTTTTGAGATGTAATGATTTGTTTACAACATTCCCAACCCTTGAATGCTGTAGTAAGTAGTACAAATCCTTCTATATTTTTCCAATATTTTAGCAACAAAAAAAAAAGTCGGTGTTGAACAAGATTGAAAATAATACGGGCACATTCGAATATTCCGAATTCAATCTTGCTTCAGAATAGGAAAAATGCTGTTTTTTTGTATTGAGTATTCTTATGAAAGTATTCTCGAAGTATTCTAAAATTATCTAAAACGGAAGTATTCTTAAATCTATTCCCGCCTGGAGTTTAGTTTTGTAGATATTAAAAAAAATGCTCTAAAGTGGTGTTACAATTTTAAAGTAAATGCATATTTTCTTCGACTAACTGCCATTATATATATATATATATATATATATATATNTATATATATATATGTGTGTGTGTATGTATACATTATATATATATATATATATATATAATGTTACTGCCAAAGCACGAATTCAGCCAAATCGCGAAATAGCTAAGAGCGCTGTAAATTGACTAGCATTGTGCGATCTTTTCTTGATTTCGGGAATTGGCCTGCCGGCCAAATCGCAAAGTGGCATGGGAGGATCAGCCAAAGTTGGAAGAAAAAATCATTGGCATGTATTATTGGCTCTGTATAATCATAACTTCATTCTTTAAAAATTACTAGCTGCGGTACCCGCAGCTAACTGCGGTGGAATATGGCCATTTAAGACAAAGTAAAAAATTAAATTTTTTAAATTTTAATTTAAAAACTTGTCTATTTTTTACATTTTTAAATTAGAAGATTTATATTTTCAAAATAAAAAAGAAAACAAAAGGGGCAATATTAGCAAATTAACTTTTTAATAAAACAAATATTAAAAAATTGTGGTTCCACCGTACCACCCGGTATGTGAAAAAACATACCACTACAATTTTTTTTCTGTAAAGTAAAAGTTATTAGAAATACAAAAGATATTAAAAAAGTAGTAAAATGGTCAACACAAAACACCTACCGGGCATTCTTGAATGAGCTGATCGTTTCAATTACATCGCACTTTGGCCGAGAGGTATAGCCAAAGTGCGAAATGGCCGGCCAATTCACGAAGTGGGCGGACTTCAGGCTTTCGCCGTGACATATATAAACATAAAGTAACATAAAAAGCTTCAATTATCTTTTTATGTTATTCCTTTTCTGTAAATCCTTCTCTTTATTTATTATTCAAAAAACGCTTTCTCACTCTTTTAAATACACATCCTATCCGTTAATCTGTTTTTGGCTCAAGTATGCATTCATTAAAAGTAAGACATTTTTCTCTTTGCTCTTTGTGGGAATCGCGCGACCTATTTGATAAACCAATTACAATATCTAAGATTTCCCTGAAATGAAACATTTTACTGGTTTACCTTGCAAGATTTTCCCTAGCTTTTATTGAGGAGCACAACTAATTCGTGTGCTCTTTTATAGCTGTTCTCACTCTAATATTTAATACATACATTTTATACCTTCTTTCCCTGCCTGTGACCTATCTTTATCCTTCCACTCGGCAACGACGTTATAAGTCGTCAGGATAAAAGGGTAGGGAAGGGGGTACATCAAAGATATGTAATATCTCATTAAAATGGTCTTTTGAAAATTTGAAATAAATCAACTTCGGAAGGGGGTACATCGAAGATATGGAATATCCCATTCCAATGGACAGTTGGAAAATTGTCAGTCGGATTCTTCTTCGGTTCTCAGTGATTCGTGATTCATCCAGCGTCTTCAACTGGGAATAATTTCTTCGGTCTTCTCGCTGATGTGGCTGGTGTCTCACTTGGTGATCGTCGGCTTTTTATTTGTGTGTGCAGCATGTTGTGTCTGTAGTTCTGAAGATTATGAATACTACTAAAAGAGCCGAGCTTCAGTATTTTTCACCCCCCTCGGACTATAAAGAAAAATTGCCACGGATTGCGGATAGACATTAAAAAGTTTTCAATTTGAAATCCCATCCCTTTCCTTTACAAGTGACTTTCGGAAAGCTTAGATATGCTTCTCCCCGTCGTGCTTTAGATTGTTTCGTCAATTTGTTCTCACACCGCCTCGCTCAAAGAGATTTATGATTCATCATAACATAGAAACTAATTTGTTTTCCTATTAACTCTCGTCTTTGCTTTTGGAATGGTGTTCATGGAGTTTTATCGAACTTTCTTCAGCTACGTATCCTTTGTGGTACTTTTTTAAAAATTCTCTATGTTTAACTCATAAAACATTTATTTCTTTAATTTTTTATTGATTAATTAAAAAAAGCACTCATATTACTACGGCACTTATGATTGTAATTTTGAAATTATTANTACATTGATCTTATTTTCATTGTTTAACAGATGTGTTTATTTTTACATTTCAAAAACTTATTTGTTGTTATTGAAATTTTTTTTCTTAAAAATTTTTTATTTTGAATTGATTGTCTTGATAAAAAATGTTTGGAGAAATTATTTTCAATTTTATTGTTTTATATGTTACAATTTCTATGATTTAATGATTAGTAGAATTTAAATTTTTGTTTTAGTTTAGTGTTTAGGGTTAAGATAAAAATCCAATTAAAATATTTAAAAAAATTTCTCTTCTAAATGTAACTACAAAAATTATTGAAATTAATTTTTAATAAATGAATGCAATTACGGTGTGGCAGAAATTATCAATTAAATATGGAAATATCAAGAAATGTTGAAACTAATACAAATAATTTGAAAGTGAATAAAATACTTGCTTTTAGAATTTGAATTGAAGAACAACCAGACATTAATGCTTGAGTCCAACGTTGGTAATTAGTTCAGAGTCTGGCTCTGTAATTTCCATAAAAAAATCGTTTCTTTATTTCTAAGCTTTAATTCCAACATATAGATAAAGTGCCCAAACACAAATTGACAAGGAATAGTATCCGGATACACTCAAAATACATTCAAAATAAAAATGAAAGCAATAAAAGTGACAAATACCCGATTGTGGCAAATTAAGCTATCTTGTTTAATAATGACACAAGTTGTACTTTAAATGTTATCCCAACAAATATTTTCGAAAAATTATATGTCCAAAAGGAAAAAAAGATATAAATGAAACCAAACAAAAGGTAATTTGCAAATTAACCAAACTTGCAACAAAATTAAGGAAAATAGCTACGTCAGTCAAATTTTAAAAACTGATTTACCTTTTACCATATTAAATTTGCAAGCTTGCTTCGGATTTCAATTAGTGATTAATTGTGTTAAATAGGTTGTAATGAAAAATATGAGAAGATTGATCACCTTTTCTGATTAGACAAGAAATTTGTCCTGACACATTTTTTCTGAAATCCTGGTTAATGTTCGCAATAAAAATACAAATAAAAAAAATGTAGAAGGAAAAGAATGTCAAATCAAAGAAAAACAAAATAATGAAAATGTTAAAGAAAAGAAAATTCTGAACATAAAAAAAGAATAAACAAAAATAAAAGTGTAAACAAAGTGAATTTAAAGAAAAATATTCAAAAAATAAACAAAAAAGCTTTTTCGTAAGCATGAAAACGAAAACGTACATGCTTACAAATTTCTGAATAAAAATTCATTTCTCGGGTGTACAAGGAAGAACTGAAACAAAGGAAGGTTGTTAGGGTTAAATGCGAATAGTTCATGTCAAAAAGGTGCTCGATATTATGTTTTAATCATGCAGGTTCAATAGTAATAATTTTATTCCTTGTTATACATTAAAAAATGAATATTTGTTGTGCTTTTTAAGTACAGAGAATATGTGTGATCGAAAGAAAACGTTGGTTTCAATTATGAAAGAGGCAACATGTTGAAAGAATTGTGAAATTTCGAGTTTTCTTCTTGTTTTTTAAGCATAATTATACTTTTGTCTCAACTGCGAGTTTTTCCATTGTATGTCATCTATTTAAATTTAATTTATTTTACTTCAATAAGTTATTATGGACTAAAAGTTTGAATTTTTTTAAAAAGGAATTGGTTTTAAAATATTAACAGTTTGTGGTACTTCTCCAATTTGTCGACGTAAGTAAATTCAGCTATTTTGTTTATTTATTCATTTTCATTTTAAAAAAAAATACCTACCAGCTGCTAAAAAAATAAAAAGTAAATAAATAAATAACAATAATGCAAAATTTAATTTACTTGTGCCCGGTGATTTGGCATTTTTGACGCCTGACCCGGCAAAATGGAAAAGTACCTAATTTATTTAAGTACTTAAAATTTTACCATAAAACGCATTTCAAATGGGTTTAACTTAACAGCGAGCAGGGATTTCAAAGCAATCTTAGGGGGTTAGGGGACGAAAGTGAACGGGAGCCTACTAGTTATTTAAGCTGATACCTTTGATTTTGTGCTACTTTTGCAATACTGATTGGTTCGTGTTTATGCCAGCGATTTATCCTAAGTAATGAAAAGAAAATGGTTGATGCTGTTTTAAAAGTGCGAATTTTTTGATTGAAAACATTTTTATAATTGAAGTTTGCATTATGTTTCAGAAGAGACAACTGTAAGTGGTTATAGAATTCCAAAAGGCGCAGTCTTGATGTATAACTTTTGGATGGCTCATATGAACCCTGATGATTATGAAGAACCTCAGAAATTTAATCCTTCAAGATATGTTGTGAAGGATGGTAAAAAGAGACCCGAGCTTCCTGTTTCATTTGGAATGGGTGAGTGACTTTTTACAAGGTATGGGCTTCAATAAGTATTTTTAATAAGCAACAAATATTGGTCTGGCTCGGTAAAAGAGAAAAGCAGGGTCACAGAAGAATTGAGTATTTGCAAGTCGAGAAGAAGTGATTGTGCTTCAACCATGTTATTTAAATCACATATTTATTGGGGCTGCTTGTAAACGAAGTGACGCGTGTCACGATTGACATACAATGACGTCACTTGCAGCTAGACATTCAATTGATGAATAACTAAAGTGACGTTTCAGGTTTTTCAAGAGAGCGTTTTCTGGGGAACATAACAGGAATTCCAAGTAAATCTTCTGTGACAGGAGCTGTAACGTAATGAAAACATTATGAAGCAACTCTTGGGTTTAAAGATGTATATTTTGGAGAAAAAGATTAGTAGCTTGACCAGAGCCGTATAATTGCTTGTAATCAATCTTATTTAATCCCTTTTTTTATTCGAATTTATTATTAGAAAGAAATTATTAGTATATTTATGTTTTAAAAAAACTTAATGCATGTTTTTTATTCAAAAATCTAACACTTTATTGAGCAAGCCTATAAAGATAAAAAATAAAGAAAGAAATAATTGGTGCAAATAATCTAGTTTTGTTCTTATTAATCTCACTTTTCTATAAAGTTGCTTCGTATGATTTTGATATCGATTTTATTTATTTCAAGCTATTTACTTTGACATTTTAAGATGTTTTAAGATATAAACTTTTTTTTGCAAAAATGAAAAAGGGCAGTTTAAAAGATCAAACAATTTTTTGCCCAATTTTAAACTTCATTTCACTTTTAAAACAATTTTTTAAAAAAAGCTTAGCAATCTATAAAACGCAATGATCGTACAATCATTCCAGTGTCATAAGGAAATGTCAATGTTTTTCTGTGTCAAAACACGGAATACGAGAGAAAAATACTGATATGCAAAAGAAGTAACAATCAAGTAACAACAAGGGAATAAAATTGACCAATAGGATAGGTGAACTAATTGAACAAGATAAATGAGGGTAATAAGTTTAAATTGCAAACTAAACTAAGCAAAAGCATGATGTAAATTGTAATTTTTTGAACATAATTTTAGGAAAGAGATCTTGCATGGGAGAAGGATACACAATGAATCAAGTTTTCCTTTTTCTCTCCACCATTGTAAAGCATTTTCATCTTAAGAAACCGATTGAGGACAAAGAAGACAAAACCTTCATTTGTGCACATCCAAGGAAAGAAAGTTAATGTATAAAGAAAAATATAGTTGTTTTTATTTTATTTTCTGTTTCTTATTTTATTTCCTGTTTCTTATTCTATCTAATTCCTATTGGAATTCATTTTAATGATTTTTTTCTGTTAAAATTTTGTATCTTTGACAAAAGAAGAACTTTTGAGTGAATGATAAAATGAAAACAAAGCGAAATAAATGAAATAAAATAATAAAAATGAATAATGGTAATCAAAATTATGACAAGAAATTGCTTCAAAAACGATCATTGTATTGAGTTTGAAGATTCATAGCATTGTAGTCGATGTCATTCTATTAAAAAAAATTTTAAAAAAAACCTAGTTACATTAAATGTTAAGCCTTTAATGCGCATAAGGCAGTCAAAGAGCACTTTAATGTACATTAAAAAAACTATTTTTATATTGCGAGTTTCATTTCGCAGCGAACTTTAAGAAATGGAAAATCTTGAACGAGCTAAAAATAAATTTCTTAACATTATTTAATTAAAATTTTTAAAAAATCAATAGAATCTACCTTACCAAATGTTATTCATCAAATATTATAATTTTTGACCTATCATGCACATTGGAGTGTCAAATAATTATTTCAAGGACGAAAAAAAAATGCTATCGATAATTAACCAAATACAAAAATTAAGGTAATGAGCAGCAAAACATAATTACTAATTGGAGGTTGAAATTTGAAGATGTATCGAATGATTCAACTCATTTCTGTTTTCTCCCGCAGGCAAACCTGTCTTGTTGTTTAATACTCCCGTGATTTGTGTTGTTTTTACCTCTGATAAATATTAATTTGCGACTTTCAATGTGCATACTTTTTTGCTCTTATTTTTAATAAGGATTCTAAAAATGCATGTTAAGGTCTTTATGAAATATCCTGTATACATATTTTCGACACGTGAATGTTTTCCTCGAGCAAAATTATTACGTCGCTAAACTTTATATTTGGAGAGAAAATTTTTTATTGTGACTGTTAATATGGTTCTGTTTTCAATTCAAGTAAAAATTAGTAAGTATACTCTTATTTAAAGTGTGAATTGCCATAAATTTGGACTGAGAAAAATATTGAGAACACTTGTTTTAAAATGGACAGTTAAATAACACCTCTTTAATGATGCTATAATTCGATAATGCTGAATTATGCCACTTGGAATGGTGAATCTTTTTGTTGAGGTAACGATCGTGAAATGATGTATATTGTTAAACTATCTAATTTAATTTCAAATATTGTTACCAACATATTGCAGTACATGCATCGTGTATCTGAGAAGTTACAAATTATTTAAAAAGTTCGTTTAAGAAAAATGAAGGGAGATAGAAATGTGTGGTTTACTGCGTATTGCTTAGAAGACTAGTTATTATTTCCTCAATTAGTTTCAAAATGGGCTACAAAATTCCTCAATAGGTCGCGCTGATGTCACTGAATCTGTTAATCTTGTCCTCAGACTGCACCACGTTGCTGATGCGAACCATAATTATTTTCAAAAACATTGCTTTTCAGTTTTGTCATTGAGCTGCAACAACGTATTTTTTAACTAGCTTAGAAACTTGTTAAGAAGATGTTTCCTAATTTCCTAAGAAGAAAGCAGCAAACCATCCAATTGATTCTCCAATTAATTCTTCTTAAAAAAATCATTTTAGAGACACTTGGAAAACGTACATAAAATTTCTCCTCTAAAACCAATAGCTTTTAAAATTACGTATTTTAAATACAGAAAATCGAATTTTGAAGGGTATTCGAATGTGTAGTAATTGTTTATATTTCTTTAAGATAATCGAACCATCGAATAAATTATCATAATCGAATTATCCAATAAATTATAAAATCGAATATTTATCCATTTTTTATCCATATAAGTATAAAGAGAATATAAAAGTACAATTATTAAGTTACTTAAAAGGCAAATAAAGTAAATCTGAAAACCGACATCCTTTCTTATTTGGACAATCAATAGGCTCAAAATTCTTATCCAGGCATATATTGAGAGATATAATCAGCTGGTGGTTATAATTCTGAAACAAAAATTTGTATGCACTATATTCACACACAGAAACTATTTTCTGCATAGTTGAACAAAAATATTTAAAAAGTTACCTTTATGTTTTTGCAAAAGAGGTTTATGGTTTTGTTATTTATACTTTTCTTAATAGCCTGAGAGAAATCTTGTAACTGAAAATAAAAAATAAAATTGGATGTTAAGAAAATCTTAAAATAAAATTCGTAAAATTTTTATTCTTAAAGTAAAATAAAAGTGTTGAAATTATTAAACTACCTAGAATCTGAAACAAAGATTTTCTAATATTTCCAAATATCGAAATAAGTGCCCGATACAAAAACGTATTATTAATAAAATAAAAAAACGTACTATTATAAAATAGTACTGTATATGTATTTTATATCTTACAGAAAATTTTGTATATCTTAAAAATTAATAGTTAATATGGCATCAGGAATAATAATAGATAACAAAACCTAACAATTTTCAAATTTACTCAGTTTTAAAATAAAAAATAATTTATATCAATATTTTTGTGTAAATATTTTTATGACAAAATTTGAAGCAGTCAACAATTAATTGCTCCAAAAATATTCATAAAACGAAGTTTCTTAATATTATTTGAGAATGTTTTTAATTTTATAAACTCGCAAAACATTTGTCCAAGTATTTTAATTAGTCTGTAGTACTTTTTTTAATACTTTTATGGTTTGTCAAAAAGAATTAAAGTAGAATGTCTTTCTAAATACGAGATATTTAATGATTATTAGGTATAATTCTAATATTGATGGGTTGGTTGAAAATAATATAAATTTATGCAATCGAAATGCGAAATTGTTTGAAAGTTGTCTTTAGCAATAAAAAATCTAATAAAAAGGGTTATTTCTTGAAATTGAAAAGCAGAGTTTTTTACATTTTAGAATTCACTAGCCTTATGCCTGCTCTTCCAGTAGTGGACTGATCGTAAGGACACGGTTCCCAGTAGCATCACTGGCTGCCGTCAGTAAGCTGGTTGGGTGACCACTTTGATCAGCCTGCGTAGGGACCGAAGGGTGCGCTATCGGTCCTCGTTAAACTGTTCTACCGTAAAGTGCGCGACTTCGCGGGAATGTCGTCCCACCTGCAGAGGATCAACATTGCGATGGCATATTTTGATTCTGTAATGGGATAGCAAGTACTAAGTGTGAGTTGCTAAAACATGTTTACGTTATCAACTGTTATTTTCATTCTATTTCGAATACGTTAAGTATCAATTCTCTTTAAGTGACGCATTCTATATTCTTTCTCAAAGATTCCTTCACTGATATTTCAGTTCTTTCACTGAATATTTCTTACTTAACAGAAAGTAAGGCACGAAACCATGTAGAACATAAACAAACTAATTCTGCGTCGTAATTGCCAGATACACAAAGTGAAAATATATCATGGTTACAATAAAATACTTAAGCAAATAATAAATCTAAGCTTAGCTAAAAACGTAGACGAGAAAAAACTGTATTTCAAAGCATTTCTATGTATAATACGGAGCTTTATTTAATTCACTCGACAATAATTAATATTCTAACTTTTGTGGAGAAAAACTCATTTTGCTTAAAAACGATCAGCCAGCGCATATGTCATAGGTCACATGTGTCGATATCTGTGATCTTCTTACCCAAGTACCTATTCATCATGCAAGTACCCAATCATCGTCAGTTTCAAATTATTTAATTACATAAAAACACGTTTTAAAAAGGTGAATATAAAAAATTTAAAACTTGGTTTCAGATAACTAAAGTTCTAATTCAGTGACGTAGTTCTCGCATAGCATCCATGTTGATCATTGAGCTTAACTGACACAACAGATAAAAAATAATTATATATTAAAGAAAGAGATTTCTCTTTTTAATTAAACAGAGCTGTAAGCTAGCATAAATGACGTTTATTATTTTTAAATATTTTGAAAATCAGAATCGCGTATAGTTTAATAATGAGCAATGTTTAACTAACGAGGAAATTCATTTTTCAAATTCATCTTCCGAACGAACCAAATGAAATTCTTGAATCGAGAGCTAAAATTTCCCCTATGCACCTATTGCTCAAAATTTCAGAACGGTTCTGGAATTATAAAAGCGACACACAAACGCGATCTTTAATTTTTATGGATAAAGGAAGAACAAGTTATTTTCCTACATAAAATAATTGTGATTTTGATTTTTAAGTTTTTTTTTTATTTCGTTACATCCAGTCTGTTACACCTGTACATTTTTTCTGCAACAAAATTACCGAAAGATGGACTTTTACTGCAAACCTATTTATTTCAAATAAGAAAAATTGAATAGGAAATGATTACCTTATAAAGTTCGTTCTCTTTTGGTGTTATTCCAGAAGTCTTAAGAAATCTAAGAAAAAAGATTAAAAATAATACTGTTATAACGTACTCTGCAAATCACTTTGAAATTCGAGGAATCAAATAAGAGAATGCATAAATAAATTAGCAGATCATGGCAAATTTTCTTGTTTTTTTAGTTCCGTTGTACAAAGAAAAAATAGAAAAATGCATAAGAAAGAAACATTTGCTAGCAGTTGCTGTTCTGTGGTATAATTTTGTGGACTTTTTTAAAACTTGAAGTTTCTTAAAAAATGAAAATTTTAATATACGACTATTTTCAAAAATAAAAGTATGTAAATTAACATTATGAACACAAACATTCGACCTACCTATATAGAGATCACATTTTCCAGATTGTGGCTTCCCTTGTTTTAAGAATTAAGAATTCAAATCCATCGAAGAAACGTATGTGTTTATCCCAATTCTAAGTTTATGACTATTAGCGTTTAACGCTGTAGTCTTGTAATTTTGAACCCGAACCGAAAGACAAGAGAACTTCTGCATAAAGTATTGGGACAATTTGGGGAGGAGTTTTTGATGGAACTAAGTCGCATTTACGTTACATGGAAGGAGAAACCACAAAAATCTCCCACGGTTAGTCCGAAGGTTAGGGAATTTTAACTCATCCGTGTACCACTGATGATATTTTTGTATCAGCACAGTGAATAGTGCGAGACGGTAGCGGAATTCGTATCGACGCTTGCTGGGAATCGAACCTGGGTTAGTTCAAAGAAAGGCGAGCACTCCATCCTCTGCAAACAATATATTTATATTTGCTGAATTAATCGAAGTAGAAAAGAATTCATTAAATATTGTGAAATAATTATCCCATTCTTTGAATTTTTTAAGTGTCTCGGTGATCCTTTTATATGAAATGAGGAATCAATTAAACATTATGAGTTGCTTCCATTAGAGGAAATCCTTAAATCTATGAGTAAATGAAAGAATGAATAGAAAGCATACTTGAATATGTCATATTTATCGTGCAGTTCAAGAGCATTTTTGAAGTATTTGTATTCTGAATCAAAACTTGTAGCGCAGGTACCATGCTTCAGCCACTCGTGCTTCCTGTTGAAAAATTGGAAAAAATATAGAAACATTGGGAGTCTAAAATTCAACCGATTAAAAAGAACTCGAAGAATTATCAAAGAGATTATAAACTTCAAAAATCTTCTTCCCTTCTTCTTCTCATTGACACGACAGCTCAGGATGGGATCTGGCCTTCTCAACAAGCCTATGCCAAGACATTCTTCCCTTAGCCAAGGTTCTCCAGTTTATTATCCTTAAAACTTGTAGATTCCTTTCAAGGCAGTCTAAAAATCTTAGGTTTGGCCGTCCTCTTTTTCTTGTACCCGTTGGCCTGGCACTGAAAACTTTTTTGGTTGTCCTGCTATCCTCCATTCTTATAATGTGGCCTGCCCTTTTAATCCTTGGAATTTTGATAAATTTAATGACATCAGGTTCTTTATATGCTTTGTGAAGTTCCGTGTTTGATCTTCTAAACCGGGTACCGCTTTTACTTATTCCACCAAAAATGCTTCGCAGTATTTTCCTCTCAAATCTAGCTATCATATTTTCATCTCCACGGGTCATTGTCCAGATCTCACATGCGTACGTAAGCACTGATCGTATAAGACATTTAATGTTTTTATTAGGCTTGACTTAAGATATTTTCTTAGACCATGAAAACACTTATTGGCCATCGTGATTGATTCTCGTGCGCATTTACTTCAAAAATCTGCTTGATTGAAAAAATCACTGAAGAGAAGTAACTACGCATACAAGTGTCATCCTGTAATGTAACTGGTTTCGATATTTTTAATACCGTTCTTCTCAATGGTGACACCATGACTGTGTATACTCTTCATTTCTTTTTCAGAAGAATATTTTTTTTATTTCCAGGAGCAGAGAGCTTGACGAAATGTATCAAGCAAAAAACAAGGGGAAATAAAGTCATTGTTTCATTCGGTTTGTAAATCTCCCAATACCGCTCGACAAAGATAGTTCAAATAGAAACTATGGTAGTCTTCCATAATGACGTATTCTCCACAAAACGCACAGTAGGGGTCCGGAAAGACACCAATCGCAAGGATTTTAAAATTACATATATAAATCGCAGTGGCTGCTGAAAAATACTTTTGTGTAAGTTTACTTATATAAAGAGATTACGGGATGATGGACCATCATTAAACGAGCATTTTTCTAATTGTATTCTTTGTACTACACATGAGGGTCAATGATCTCTTTTCAGGCAGGACAGCAACGTAAAATATTTAGGTCATGCTTGAGCTGCAGAATGGCTATTATCGACTGTCAGGGAAACGCCTCTGAGGATGATGCGAAGACATGCCCATCATAATTCTGATCCTAAACTGAGGGTTTGGTTCCCTCAATTTGGTAACCCTACGACCCAACACTTTACCGTATAATAGTAGAAAGAAAACCGATATTAAAACCCTCTGATATGAACATCATTGACCGCAGCTAAGCGTGTCTTAGCATGAGTCCCCTATGGGGTGTCACTATAAAAAGAAAAAGTGTAATGAAGAGAGATCATCCATCATTCACCAGTGTCATTTCAGGATACTAAGATAAATTTTACAGAATCAATTGAACTATATATTAAACATATTATATTATACACATATAGTACTTATTAGTTCCGATTTTACTGATAGGATTCTAACCAAACTTCAAATATTTGTTATTCAGATAATGGAGATCAAAGTTTCCGTCAAAAAAATTGTTCGAAATTCTGCCACCAGGTGGCTTTATAATAGAATGAAAAGAATAACAACAGCTCAAAAATTCAAACTATTTTATTTCTTTTCAGCTTGCGTGTTCTGTATACATGTGGTTACATCTACTCATAATATGAATACACGGCATTACTGCGACACCTATTTATAAAATTTCAAGAAATTGTCTTTTTTAATTTAAACTTCTGAAGCATGTTCTAAATAACATAAATTCGAATCCATTCAGTAGAACCGCAGAGATAACTGCCTTTGAGAACCGTCCAATTTATTTTATTCACCCTCTACTATTTTTATTTGACTTCATTGTGTAGTTTGCCTAAATTAAACCGCCTGTTACACATAGCTAGAGAATCAAAATATTTTCTTTTTTAAATCACTGTCAATATTTAGCATATTTCAGTTTTACAATATTATTTCTTATAATTAATATAATTATGTATAATTAATATACTTAAAAAATTAATATACTTAAAAAATTAATATACTTAAAAAAATAAAATTTCACAATAATTAAACTTTCATCCCATCACTCATAAGGAAATACTTTCATGATTTTCAGTAAGTGTTAATGTTCAGTCATGTCTTAGAACTAGCTCTTAGAGTAACATCTAGAGACGTAATTACATCATGATAGGAGTGTTCACACCTACGAGCATCTTTAAAATTGTGTTTAATTACCCTTACTTATTTTGTTTCAAATGAGCCTGGTAATAAAATTGTGAAAACTATTAATATTTATTACTTTAACCAGTCAAAAATCAATCATTGTTGCAAGATAGCAGTTAAAGGCAGCAGCACAGATTTAAAAATTGATCTATAATGCTTAGAATTAAAATTTGATTAAAATCAGCTAAATTGCTCTCGTAGTTAACTTAATGCAGCTTTTTTTATTACTAATTATTATTATTAATAATAATAACTGTTATTACTAATTATTATTATTATTACTAACTGTTATTACTAATTATTAATACTAATTAATTTTTCAGCAATTATTCCTCTGGAACATATGAGATGTTTTAAAAAGTTTGATTCTTCACAGAAAGAATAATTTAAGATGAATATACAATAATCTACTAATTATTGAAGAAAAAATTTAAATTAAGAAATGACTAAGCAAATCTTACCAGAAATCAGTGTTTGGATTTTTAGGGTTAGTACTTGGCCATTTTGTCTTAAGTTCGGGTAAAAGAGGCTAAAATAAAATAAACAATAAATATATCAATGTGTGGAAAAAAGTAGTATGAATTATGAAAGTATTCATTTTTTTTCCAAATCATCCTCTTGCTGTTATATTTATAAAATTCAGAAATACGTAAAGCAAAAATTTTAATCAATAAATATATTCACATGATATAACCATTCTTTAAACATATAATTCAGAAGTCTTGTGTGTTACATATACAAGGAATGGCTCGTAATACAATTTAAGAGAAAATATCATCAGAAGAGAATAGAAAGGCACAATCCGCAAAAACCGAAACGGACCACTTAGAAGAACTTTTGATCTAATGGTTAGATTTTCGCGTTCTAGGACTCAATCTTAATAGTTTGAGGGGGTGACCTCAAATATACTAATTAGTTAGTGCATCCGTTATTTTAGATTACGAAATCAGACACAAAAACGTACTTTTTCTGAATAAACATTCCTTTTTTGGACAGATTCGGATTTCTTATCCCCAAAAAATTGGAGGTAACCGAAATCTCGAAAATATGTCCCCAATAGTTTTATTAGAAGAGTGGGTAAAAGTTTCGACATATCTTGGGAACTTTTTAAGCAAAATTTTTAAAAAAATTGCACACAATAATAAAATTTGTTTATCCAGAGATAATTCCGTGACAAAAATAACTATATTACTTTAATTAGTTTATTTAATAATAGTCGAAAGTGTTTTTAATGGTAAGGTGTACAATTTTTACATCATTTTAACATTTACATTTCTTCATGGTAAAACAAAACAAAATCGGTCGAATAGTTCTTGAGTAATCGAATTTTAAATAAAGTTGCATATTGAGTCCTAGAACGTGAAGATCTGATCATTCGATCAAAATTTATTCGGGGTGGTCCGTTTTATCTTACCTTATATATTTATTTTGTTGTACACTGTACACCCGGTGAAATGGGGAAGGGGGAGTCTAATCCTCCGTTATTCGTTTTCATAACTTTTAGTTGTAGAACAATATTCCTCTGCTGATTTTACTTGAATACTCTTATTTAAAAAAGGTAGTCAGTTTGAAATATATGAGAAAAAAATGAACTGCAACTTCTCACTGTTACTTTATTAACTTATTGATGAAGGTAGCATATAATTCTATTCCAAAAAACATCATGGTTGGCCAAGAGTGAATGAAGCTATTCAACCACCACACATAATTCTTCGAACAATTGTTTCGAGCGAGATATAATCCTTCTAGTATAGCAGACAATTAAAGAGATACTCTAAGGAAGAAGTTTATCACGGGAGACATTGGCCTTCTAGAGCGTACTATTGAGCGTGGCGATCTATGATACTATGTACTGAATTTTTCTGAGTGTTTTTTCCCCCTTCATTTTCTTTTATGAGGACTTTTTTTTAAAAAATTCATTTTCTTTTTCTTCACATGAGGTGATCTTAAATTCTTTCTAATTTAGTTCTAAGAAAATGTTTTTCAGTTTGGCAAGTGTAGGCACGCAAATATGCAAATTTATTAATAAATTTAAAATATAATTATAAATATATCACTGCTAATAACTACGCCCTTTTTTTGGTTATCCCTATTCATCATCATCGCGGTCGCTCAGGGGATAGAGCGCGTAACAAAGATGTGACTCAGGTTCGATCCCAGCTTTGGCTGGTCGATTCAAATTCTGCTCCCTGTTCGCATCGACCACAGTGCTGATGTAGATGGATCATGGATTAGAGTCCTTTGCCATCTGGCTAACCGTAAGGGGTTTTCGTGACTTCCCTCTCCATGTAACGCGAATGCGTTTTAACGGCATCAAAAAGTTTCCTACGTATGCTAGTTTGTCGCAATGCTTGATCCAGGAGTTCCCTTGTCTTCTAGATTGGGTTCAAAATGATGGAGTTGAACATTGATAGCTGTAAACTCAGAATTGGGTCACTTGTTCAACGCTGGTCATAAAATAAAATAAAATAACTTCGCATCTGATTTATAAATAGCGAATAAATATTTGTAAAAATATTATGCACTTATTTTTTATCATTTTGCAAACGAAAGATTATATTTAAAATATGAAGAACATATATTAAGTACTTCGATTGGTTCCTTCTTGAAAGTAGCTGAGCGTTTGCAATAAAATGGATTTCTATCTTTGCCTGATGGCCTGAAAAGAAGATCGATGCAAGTTAACTGGGAAAACTTTTTTATTCAATTTTTTAATTATTATATTTTTAGTAAAATTTTAGCAATCGAGAACACAAAATCATCCATTGAGTCATTCAACAATAAAACATACTAATATCAATCAATTTTTAAAAGAATTAGTTAATTAAAAGCGTTCTTTAAAATATGTAACCAATGATGCTCGCTCTGAATCGGTCAAATCGTTTGCAGTTTGAAACGTGGTCAGTTTTCCTCCTCATATTCAATATGAATATACAGTTATATTTGAGGTTGTATAGGTTATAATTTGAGGTGGAAGTTAAACCATTGGTACATTTCTGAATAATATTTTACTTCTTTTTTAATGAAGTTTCAGGTACTTATTTGATTTTCAGCTTGCAATGCTATCTATTTTTCTGCAAAAATGACAATTTTCAATCTTTCAGTTTGTCTGAAGAAAAAAAAAATAAATAAAACAAGCAAGCAATTTTTACAACATACTAAAGTCTTAAATTTTTTATGTATTTTCCCCCTTAATTTTTGAGTACATTTTGTTATTAATTTTATTTATATTCATACATGAGATTGCGAGCTCATTACAAAGTACGGCTCATTTTAATTCTTTTTTTTATTCCAAAACACATACAGGTTAGCTTGCTCAATACAAAAGAAAGTATACGAACTCTTTTCAAGTGGAGTTCGATGACTGGATTTCCTCTTCTGTTTGGTTGAAGTACAACAGTCACATCATATTTTGTTGATTGGGTTGGATAAATTGGTTTTATATGCATTTAAAACTTATATGGGAGAATGATTCTGGTCGATATGAATGGATGGTCTAGAGCTGTCATAAATTTGCAAGGGACTAAAATAAATAATGCAACTTCTGAGAGCTGTGACTATTAACTTCCCTGTGAAATTAGAAAAGATCTCCTAGGCAGCCTACTATTCCAACTAATTGTCTAAAGCGTGGAAGTATAGCGGGCTCGCTGACCACCCAGGAAGTATCCTTGTTCTTCAACAGGAACGTTCTTTTCATAGAGATTACGAGCCAACTTATGGGTATGAAGAAATAAATCAAATGAAATTGTAAGTAATAGAATTAATGTTAAGCAAATGTGTACTCATTTCAGTAACTGACAGCATTTTCATGCAATTGCGTGTAAATCGGTTGAAAATTACGGATTTGTATGAAAACCATGTGTAATAATCAAACTTGGAGTTTCGTATTAAAACCTCCAATAACTCTGTCCTGTCTCGAATCATTTCCTATCGAACTCAAAATTTTACATTGGAATTCGACATGGTTTTTAACCAATAGAAATGCATTTTTTGTAAGTCTACTTATTTTATAAAATATTTCAAGTCCTGTTGTTCGTTGACGGGAACATTTAGTGAAAGAAAAAACGTTTAGTTACGTCATATGAAACGTAAGTTGAATGGAAAAAAAATATTTCAACAGGAAAATTTAAATGGACTGAATACCATAATTCCCTCTCTTAATTATGAAATTTAGTTTTAGGATTCTTATTTGGAGATTTTGCACAGATTTTGTTTTTAATAATGTAGTTTCTGGAAAGAGTAAGGAATGGATTTATTTTTCCTTTATATTCAGATATTAACATATGTCTAGGGTGTTTTTTTTGTTTTTCCTTCATTTTTTTACATTAAATAGTTGCCTTTCTCACCGAAACTGAATCAAAATCCAGAGGCAGATTTAATAATCAGTTTTCAACTTGTTTAACTCTACAGTTGGAGGGAAAGATTTATAAGTGTTTTTTACCGAAGAAAAGAAAATAGCCTCAGTTTAAGTGCTCGAAGCAAAGATAAATTTTAAGCTACTCATACACCATCTTGCCAAAAAAAATTATCTGGGTTTTGGAATAGCTTAAATGTTATAATAAATTAAACTTTTTTAAAAATTGCGAAATTGGAGAGATTTTTTTTAGCTGGGTGAAAATTATGAATAGCAATAAATAATTCTCAATTTTTGCAATTTATGATTCCAGATAATGTAGTTTTGGAAAACTATTTTATATCTTAGGAAATTAGATGGCAAGCGACATTCATTTTTATAAAGCTCCGGTTTTTCTTGGTGTTATTGTTTTGTATCATTTTACATAATTGGATAAATATATGTGAATTATTTTTAATATTTTACAATCGGGAGCCCCTCTCATTTTTGGTGATTTGCAAAGAAATGAATAGATATGTAGATAAACCAAGAACATATCATATAAAGGTAAACAGTGACTGAAAATATTTACCCTTATATGATAGGTTCTTGGTTTATTGTTTATTCATTGTTGCTTCTGTTGCTTTCATTGTTGCGTATATCTATTCATTGTTGCCAGGGGCGGATCTACTTAAGAGCTTTATGGGCTTCAGCCCAGGGCCCCGTGGATACAAAGGGCCCCAGTCCCCACTGAAAACAATGGGTGATATTTTGAATTAAAAAAGTATCTAATATTAAAGAAAAAAACTATTATAAGGTTGGCAACCCTGAGATCAATCAACATATGCATGTGCGCGTTTATCGAACTGAACGGGGAATTCCCCGTCGCTTGTCTTTGGTCAGTGTATTTTTTCGCGTCTATATTACGGGGGACTTCCTGCCGCGCCGCTAAGGCCCGACGTAATTTTGTTTTTTTTTCCCGCACTTCTGTTCTCGTCGTCAAAGTGACAAACTTGTTTAGTTTATAAATGATAAGTTAAAAGTTATAAAGACAGGATCTTTCTTATTTTACTTATAATTGAAAGTACATAATCAGTATAAGAAAAGATTTTCTGTTCTTAGTTGGTAAGTAAAAAGAATTATAAATCATATTTTTTTAATGTATTTTTTCAATACTAAATAAACTTTTTAATCGATTTTAGAGATAATTTATGAATTACTGCACTCATTACAAAGTAATGTGACGTGAAGAACAATATTACATCGATTATCTCGTTCCCTGTTTATTACCAGAAAATTATCAAGTTCATTGTTTATTTTCAGAAAAATATCAGTCTTATTTTACAATATGTCTGGTAGATAATATGAAAGTGAAGCTGAGAAACGGAAATTACAGCTAGATCGGGAAAAAAAAGAAAGAAATGTGCACAAATTGAAACTTTTTCAAATTAGAGCATAAAACTGAGAATAAAATAGCTATAAATTTATTAGCAAACGAAAAGGAAGTGATCTTATCCGAAGAGAATCTATTTGAAGGGAGCAGAAAATCGCAACACCAGGAAAAAAATACAAGTGATGAAATTGTACAAAGTCTTGACTACCAACAACCCTCAGATCACACTGAAAACTATAGTGGGGTGTTCAGCAAGAGGAAGGTAATACCGAGGCGGAAACAAATTTAGAGAATATTAAGATTGAGTTTGAGAAATATGACAACGTGGGCCTGTGGTCAGAATTGTTAAATAATGATTTTATTAATGACATCCTCTCACATGAACTTCAGACTCTCAAATGTCAGATTTTCGAAAAATATACATTCAGCTTCAATAATGAAATACAAAGAACAAAACAGAACATTTTTAAATAGGTATTTCATTAAGAAAATGAAAAATGGTCAATCACTGGAAAGATCTTGGTTATGTTATTCAATCAGGGTTGGTACTGTTTTTTGTTTGACTTGCAAACTTTTTTCTAAAATCTCTTCTCAATACACAACCGGATTTTCTGATTGGAAACACATAGGAACTTATTTAGAAAATCATGAAAATTCTAATGAACATAAGAAATCAATGCTAGTGTGGTTGACACGAAGGGAAAATAGATCTATTTTAAACAAGCAGTTTCAGAAGCAATTAAGAAAAGAAACAGAATATTATCACAATTTCCTAAAACGGGTTATTGCAGTGGTCGAATTTTTAAGTATAAGGGGCTTAGCATTTAAAGGTTCCGAGGAAGTATTTGGTTCTTCACATAATGGTAATTTTATGGGTCCTCTGGAGCTATTAGCAGAGTTCGATCCATTCATTCGTGAACACATTGAACAACGAGAGCTACGACCAAAACCGATAATATCATACTTATCAAAAACAGTATATGAGGAAATAATTGAGATTATGGGTCGACAGATAATTAAACAAATTATAACTCAAATAAATAACGGCGACAGAAAGTATTATTCAATTGTGATGGATTTTACTCCAGATCTATCTCACAATGATCAACTTGCTATTGTATTACGATACTGTTTTCAGGAAAAAGTGTATGGATGATGTGTATCCTTCATTAAAATTGGTAGTCATACTGGTTTACATTTATTTAATACTAGCCGCCTAAGGCGGCCAGCTGTCCGCCAAGCTGAAGGTTTTCACAAAAAAAAGTTTTTCAAAACATAGCAGGAAATCTGAAGATTAGTGGACAATTAAAGTGTTCCTGTCCAGCAATTTTGTCTTCATATCCAGTACTGCTGCAGATGTGTTATAGCTCTTGAGGATGTTTGAAATTATATAGCTACAACGCTTAAGAAAAAAAAA